ACAGGACGGGGGTGGGGCTAGGGCAAGGGCGGGGCTCCTCCCGTCCTCTTTTTTGATTGTTGAAATATGGTAACCCTAAATATACCACTGGTAAGAAATCACTGTCTTGGTGACAAAAATCAAGCACCCATGGTGCACAAGAACCCAGCAATGGCAAGGGAACGCAGGGTTAGAGGGTTTATTGCATACACCCATTCTGAAAAGGGCTAGCATGAAGGGAGGGCACCCAGCACACAAACACAGCCACCTTAGTACTTTTCTGTGCCCTCAACCTGCTTTATCCATTGTCAAAACAAAGCAACTTACCAGAGCTCTGCTCTCTTGCCTCTGCCTCAGCAGACAGTGGCTGCTCACACTGGCTAGACACCTCCAGAGTGGAGAAGGGGCCCTGAGTGCATGCAGCAGCGGGCTCCACAGCTTCCTCAGCCTCCTCCTCCTCATATATAACCTCCTCCTCCTCCTGGCTAAGCCCACTTTCCACTGCCTCCAGATATGCAGAAGTGTCCACTGGGCACTTTGCAATGGAGGTGGGGGCAGGGCCGGCTCTAGTTTCTTTGCTGCCCCAAGCAAAAAAAATTTTGGCTGCCCCCCACCCCAGTTCTGGGTTCTCCCCCTCCCCCCCCAACTGCACCCTCCTGCCGCCCCAGCCCTGGGTCACTGGTAACTCGCTCCCAGGGCAGGTCATTCAGCAGGAATTTTGGATGTGCACAGAACACAGACAGGATTGGTTCCCATATGGTTACAGAACTGCAGTAAAGTGGAACAATGTTCAGCTTGTGTGACTGGAGGATATCTGGATGCATATTATAAGACTGTCCTACATAAATGAGAAGAAGTTGAGGTGCCTTTATTATTCTTTTGTTTCTATGGGGAATGCATTATCACGGTCTTCCTTTTAAACAAATAAAACTAAAACAAAAAACAAAAAAACAAAAAACAATGGCTGTTGAAAATAGCAATTCCAGTCCTAATAACCACTGGGAAGTGTTTCTTGCTCAATTTATTCTACTTTTTCTACAGCAAGTTACAGTGGAGCCGTATATTTGATTTGGGGGAAATGAAGTAACAGCTGCCCAAATTGAGCTTGAGCACTCCTGAATTTTGAGGGTGTTCAAATCAGGAAGGCAGGTGCTAGATTCCCTTTCTGAATATTAGCTATATCTGGAAAGGAAAAGTCAATTTCTGCTTCCATGGCTCAGAAGTAGAAATTCTCCTAAGTGCCTGGTTCTGTATCTAAAGCTGCCCAGGTCCTCTAGCAGAGCCTCCCCTCCCTTACTTTTCATTTTAAATTCTAGTGGGATCCACGTACCTCCCTTGCTAGGCTTCAGATAGAGAGGTGCACTGTCCATTTAGTCCCCCCAATTCCTTCTTTGGGGGAGAGCCCAGGGCTGGGGCGGCAGGAGGTGCGTGTGGGGGAAGAGCCCAGGACTAGGGCAGCAGGGGGTACGGTGGGGCCAGAGCTGGGGTGGCAGGGGGTACAGGGGGGGGAGAGAGCCCAGGGCTGGGGCAGCAGGAGGTGCGGGCTGGGCTGGGCGGGGC